CAGACCTCGAGCGGGATTCTAGCGAGGTCAGACTCACCCTAGGGCTTATGTGGCACGCTATTAATTACGAATAGCTATCTGGGAGCAGCATAGACTTAACGGAAGAGATGTGGACATAAAGGAGTAATAAATGCGGAGTTATAGGATATGTTAGACCAGTTCCATCATGATTAGACTTATTGATTGTACCAGTTATATCTCTTTAAGCTGTTGTAATTCTATGTCTATAAATATTTCATATATTTACCCTAAAAGGGACCCGCTTTTCCGAATAAGAAACTGCTTTACGCTGGCTAAATACTCTATTCTCGTAGATTAGATCTTGTAGTTGGAATTGAACTCCATCGATTTCGATGTTAATTATTTTTTTCTACTAAGAAATTAGTGATTAATTTATGCAAATGTTACATGTGATTGTGTTCGTAATTCGTTAGGGTGGTTATGGTTGGATTAAAACCTACCCATAGGATAATGGATCACTTAGAGTGTGAGGATATTTTCATGTATGATGAATATAGTTATAATGTACGTAGTATATATGTTCCTAATCCTCTTCGTTGTCGTATGTATTGGTACTAAAGTAGATACCACATCTGTTCTTTAATAGATGTCTCACTTTCTATTTTGGGGTGTTCTTTAATATTTGTCCCTCTTCCCATTTTTGGAAAGTTTTTTCAATAATTATATTTCATTCTCTTTCCTACTTTTTCATTCAAACACGACTCACTACACCTTTTACACTACTCCTATTATTTTCCCCTTGAAATTTGTGCCAAACTCTATACTCCAAGAGAACGAAAGGAGTATTGAACTTCATTTTACGATTTGCAATGTTTAAGTTGCGATAAAATTAATTATCTTATAGTAACATATAGATTAGTGGAAAAGTCTGGTAAGGTGTTCCCAAAAAAAAGATAAGTGGAAAACAAGATTTGAGAATACTACATGTGTAAATACATAAAAAGCCACACACGCATATAAGTAAACTTTATTTTTTAATTTTATTCTATAATTGAAAGGATTAATGATCCATTTAATCAAACATTACCCATAGTTACTTTTTCCATTAAAATACTACTCCCTCCGTCCCTCTAACTTTGTCTCGTGTAACCTTTTTTGTTTTTCTCATTCAGTCTGTCATGTACCATATTTGGTTATATTTGGCTGGTTACAATTCATTCTTACTTTATTCACACTTTATCAATTCAATACCAACCACACAATTCTACTCTTTCTTAAAAATTGTGTCACATCCTCTTGCCCCAAATATAGTAGGAGGGAGGTAGTACTTCTTACTCATAGTTATGATCGTTACCATATACGCAGGGGCGGACCCAGGAAGTTTGTCTTGGGAGGGCGGCAACTTAAACAAAATATTTTTTGGGAGGGCGAAAATTATTTTTTATTATATATATATACACTAAAAAATTTTGTTGTTGGAGGGCGACCGCCCCCTGGGTCTGTACTACGGTCCGCCCCTGCATATACGACAGTTATTGTTTGACTAAAAATTATTCATTGACTATATACGCCAGTTATTATTTGACTAAAAGTTACTCGTTGACATAATGGAGCATTTACATGGTGAGAAAGTCATTATGCGGGCGAATACAACAATATGTATATTTGCTCCTATCTGCCATATGATAAACTTCACTTGACAGTTTACAATGTTAAGTCATGATAAATTTGATGATATCATATTAAGATATAAAAATGTTATGGAATAAAAGATTTGTAAAAAAGAATAATAAATTTTATAGATTTGTAGGCTAACACACGATGCACAGTGAGATGATGTTTTAGCACTAATTAAAATTTTCATGGTGTGATTTTGATCATTTATGAAATCTAACTCGATTTTTAATAACATGATTGATACAATCGAATGAATATGTCACCCTTTTGGAATCGGTCGGAATTGAAGATGTAATATGTATTCTTTAGTTTTTGTTATGTTATGATTAGGCGATATATATTTAGTGAGTTAAAAAGACAAAAGAACAGTAAAATTCTAAATTCTAATGAGCTTAGTATTATATTTTGTTCAATCAAATCGTGATATTTAGAAAGACGACTCGTAAATATTTAATCGAATAGAATTCTATTTGTAGTTATAATTTTTAATCTAAATGATGATAACTTGATTAATTAAATGAAATAGTGATGTTTAAATTATTGGAATTCAATCTGAATGTTGGGTTATATCATTCAATTATGATTCTCAAAATTTAATTATAATAATAAGTTAGGATTTCATAGCAAATTCTCAAAATGCCAATTTAACGATTGAATTTAAGTACTACTCACTCCCGATTCAGATACAATACTCTACTTTATTGGTACTAAAGTAAATTTAGTATGTCCTGGAAATAATGAGACATGATGTTTAGTCCGGATTATGAAAATCTGGTACAGTTAATCTGGACATTAGATGTCATCTAAAATTTATAACTAGTAATGTTTAGCTTTAACATTATACTACGTAGTATTTTATTCTTGCATTTAGTGTTTATTGCCTTAGAAAAGGAATACGATAGCGTACCTCAAGAAGTACTTTGGTGTGTCTTAACTAGAAAAGGCATATAACGTAATATCATAATGGCTATGTATGCGGATTGTACTGCAAGTGTCTATACGAGTGTAGGAAGAACTGCAGAGTTCCCTATTACTACCGGAGTGCATCAAGGAGCAGCTCTGAGTTATTTCTTATTTTGTTATAGTCATGGATGAACTTATAATATGATACACTGTTGATGGAGTAAATTGTCATATATATACCCCAAGGGCATCAACGTTTACGTTAAGGGATATCCAGAATCCACTAAGGCAGCTCCAGCCGAGGCCGGACTCAAAATCGGTTCTCAGATCAACGAGATAAGTCCAAAAGTGCAGTCAAGGCCGACCCTCACCGAGGTCGGTGATGATTCGAGCATTATGGCCAAGCTCCAGCACAACTACTGTGTTACGAGCTCAAGATCAATAAGGATATTCCTGTTTCGCATTATGAGCCGAGGTTCCTCACCTCTAAGCTAACACGCTACACCCGAGCATGACTTTTATGACCGAGCTCGGGGCCTCAAATAGAAATCATGGACTTAGACATTTTTAGCACTACGATGTTACAAGATTCAGGATTATGTCACGACACGACACCTGTCCCTGGGTTGACGTCACCCAGTTCGGTTATACCTGCCAACTGCCAGATTACACATGTGGCTTATCCAGGCATTCCAGTACCGCGAGTAAAAAAGCCAGCGCAATAGTACCAATCAATTAGATATTATCTCTCCAATTAGCCTTACACGTTTCAATAGATTAGTGGCAAGTTATATTACTTGTTCACCAAGTATCTCCTTGGACACTATAGATATCACCTTTCAACTTGGGGAAAGGGGTCGTATTTTCTGATTCTCAAGCTTACTGTTACTCTGCCAAATTTCTTACTCGATCTACACTTCGCGTATTATCTGACTCTCCTTCAGTTGTGCCTAACCCTAGATCAGTAAAGCCATACACTGTGGTGCATGATGTTTGTCGATGATCTGATATTGTATTGATGATGAGACACAATTAGGTGTTAAAACAAAGTTGGAAGTATGTCAACAAACGTTGGAGAACAATAGTTTTAGGCTGAGTCGAAGCAATACTGAGTGTATGGAGTGCAAGTTTGGTGGAGATAGGCGTAGTGGTAACATTGGGATTACCTAGATGGTAAGGAGATATCGGTCAGTGATGTGTTCCTTTACTTAGAAACCATAGTTCTGAAGGAAAATGAACTAGATGGAGATGTATCCCATAGAATCATAACATGGTGGATGAAATGGAAGAGTGTGTCATGATTTCTATATGATCAAGGTATGTTGACTAGACTGAATGGTAAATTTTATCGGTCATCAATTAAGTTTGCATTGTTGTATGACATAGAGTGTTTGGTGGTGAAACAGTGTCACGTTGTAAAGATGAGTATGACAAAAATGTGTGTGTTGCGTTGGATGTGTGACATACTAGAAAATGTCACTTGAGGAATGAGACAATCAGACGAAAGGTAAAAGTAACACCTATTGAAGATCAGATGTGAGAATCTCAATTGCGGTTGTTTGGTTCTTTTAGACGTGTTGAGAGGAGGACATGAAGATTTAAACAGTCGCCGATTAGATGAGTCCAGAGTGATATGTTTCTTCTTGGATTGGATGAGAGCATGACTTTAGACAGAGCTAAGTGGCGAGCGGGTGTTCGGGTGACATATTAATCTTGGGTTTAATGCAATAAACCCCCTTGTGAAATAGAAATTCATCTCATTAGCCCTCTGTGATTTAAAAATGCATCAAACCCTCTTACGTTATAGTTAATCATGCACAAAATCTTTTTTACGAATAAATTTAATTGCCAAATAAATGAAAAATAAAAATTACTTTTGTATAATTTAGAAATTTTGACAAAATTTTCTGCATATTCAATCATATTATTGAGAAAAGTGATTTCAAAATTGTAGATTTTGTTCTTGGAGGGGGTTTTGCTCATGAATAATTATAACACATGAGAGTTTGACGTATTTTATAAATCAAATGGGGCTAATGCTCTGAATTTATATATCATGATGGAGTTTGATGCATTAAACCCAATTAGTAACTTATTTTCTTTTTTATCTTCTTTGTCTTTGTTATGTTTTTTATCTTCTCTATCTTTGTTATGTTTTTTATCCTTTCATCCTATCATTTTGATGTATATCTGATTTTTATTTTACGTTATCCTTTTTTTATCTTTTTTATCATACCTTATCTTTTTATCTTTCTTTTTCTTTGAGCTCTATTTCATGTATCAATTCATGTTAGTTGGCACTAAAATCTTTTGAGATTAAGGCTTAAATGTTATTGTTATTGAATTATAGTGTTTCATTAAGCAGATAAAAGATTAGAACTTATGTTTAAAAAGGGACTATTGGCCTAGCAAAAGAATTGTTATAAGCTTGATACTTTTTGAAAAAGATCAGTAGTTACCTCAAATAAAGAACTGCATACGTATTATAATGTGGGTGTCACACAGTCTTGTCACCCACGCATCCAAACACAAATCCACACCTAAAAAGCAAAAGTAAAAGCTATGCTGAAAAAGAATCATCACAGGCACCATAATACCATATCCACCCTATAGGAAATTTAAAATTGGACCCCACCCCCGAAAAAAACCAACAGCAAATGATATAGTCAAGAATCACAAAACACACCCATTGCACATAGAGGGAGAGAGAAACAAAAAAAAAATGGAATTGGAGGGGGGGTTGACTGTTAATTCTAATGGATGATCATGTCAAGAATAATAACTTCTTGAATCTTGTCAACTGAGCAACTTGTTGGTCGCCAGCTCCTGTGACTCATACAACAGTGACAATGAATGGGGTGGGAGATAGCATTACTCAGTTTCAATGACAACTTCGGAATGTTTTCTATTTGTCAAGCTTGAACCACAAATCTGTTCAATCCGGATCACAACCTCTGTCACCAACGGTCTATTCTCGGGGTGTTGACCCGCACAATCAACCCCGAGTTGCAATAGTCCCACCATGTCCTCCTCAACATTCTTTGACCTAAGAAGTTCAACATCAAAAACTTCAGAAGTCCACTCCTCCTTACCCACTGACCGAACCCATCTTGGTAGGTCAACCCCTTCCTCTTCTTCATTCAAGAGAGTGTTTTTTGGAGCTTTGCCTGTTAGAAGCTCAAGAAGTAATATCCCAAAGCTATATACATCAGCTTTTTGAGAGGCCCTTCTTGGGTCAGTCACTTCGGGTGCCTGATAACTGGCAACTCGTACCGGAAAGGATGATGACGGCCCAACAACATCGGATATGCCAAAATCTGATATTTTTGGTTCATATGATTTGTTTAGGAGGACGTTTGATGACTTTATGTTCCCGTGAGAGACTTTGGGGCCTTGGGTGTGCAAGTATTCTATGCCTCGGGCAACACCAAGGGCAATGCCCGATCTCATTTCCCAATTCAGTGGTGTCCTGCCTGCACCCTTGCCTGTGTGAGAGAAATCAGGCAGTTAGTTTAGAACGAATCATACATAAAGCTTAATCGGATAAATAAGTATCAAACACGTCAATGGATACTGGATCATCTAAAGAGTTAATACCATATACTTGGTCCTCAAGTATATAGATGATTCCACAGTCCTCGAGTTTCAATTTCATTTGATGACATGTCTACTTTGACATTCGTTTTCTTTCCAAATTTTGTCCGTGAACTAATCAGTCAATACTCTATCAATAACGATGATAAAAATTGAAAATAATCAACATCTATTGTTACATGATAAATTCTGGAAGGATCAAATAGTCGAGGTAGAAAAATGGTCAAAATTGAAAGTTAAGGACTGCATAAGGAATTGAAAGAATAGTAAGGACTACATATGGTATTAACTCTTTTGCATCAATTAAAAAAATTGTTTTAACTCAATAGTTATGCAGACTGCTCAGAAACTAACATTGCAGCTTGTCTGTCTGCATAAAAAACAACAAAACTATCAAAGTATGAAAACGCACATAGAGAGAGAGAGAGAGAAACTCCTAATAGAAGAAACAAATGAAAGGCATATCAAGCCAAGAAGAAGAACCCAAGTTCTTGTCCATAACTGCAACTGTAAGCATATCACATTTTTAACATTTATAGTTGGCAAGCATGAGTTTGGCCCAAATGTGGATCCAAAAGTGCATAAGCCACCCTTTGTAGCAGCAAACTTCAAAATCATCACTACGATCTCTACTCTTTTCTTGAACAAACGTACACACAATGAATCAATCACATTTAAATCTACTGAGGAACTCAAATTTGAAAAGACAATCCGAATCCACCAACAGGCAAACGGCAAGTTTAGTAGCCAAACAAATGAGACATATTCTGGTCATCAATAAAATAGTCAGAACAAGTAAGCTTTTGATAGTTGCTTCTCTGTTCAGAAAGTTCAGCCAGCCATAACAGCTGAATAACACTAACCAAAAGAACTTTAATCTCGTACCATCAAAATGAAGTTTATAAAAAAGAAAGAGATTGAGAATTGGGAAGGAGATCAATTACCATGAAGCAATGCAGACAAGCTTCCCATGGGCATATAATCATAAACAAGTAGCTTTTCTTCTCTGCTATAGTAATAAGCCTTCAGAGGCACCAAATGCTGGTGGTTCATGTCGCCAACCACCCTTATTTTCTCCCTGAATTCTGCCTCAGGTATCATCACATCCTTCAACCTCTTCACCGCCACAATAGTCCCCATCTCAAGAACAGCCTTATACGTGGTCCCAAAAGTTCCCTTTCCCAAAACCTCAGCAGAAGCTCTCAGAAGATCCTCCAAATCAAACACACTCGAAGCACCCCCTAAGAAAACTAGCTTCTTATCCCTGGTCCCACCTCCACCCATACTACTCTCTCCTCCTTTGCCATGCCCTTCCATTGCTGCAGGAGCCACTGAGTACGCATTTTCCCTTTCTTTCTCTCCAGTTTCAGGATGCTTTATGGCAGAACCATCTACTGATCGTGCTTTCTTTATGCACAAGACGAAGAGGATTATGAAAACAAGTAGAGATCCAACTGAAGATCCGATCACAATCCCTGCAATTGCTCCACCGGATAGTTTCTTAGAATTGCCAAGTGTTATCCAGCCTGTTGCTATGGCCGGCGGGGTTTTTCCACCCGGACAAAGAGCGAGAGGGTTCCCACAGAGTGAATTTCCGGCAAAACCCTCCGGGGGGAATGATTCTAGACTCTTTGGGATAGACCCGTTTAAGTAGTTAAACGAAACATTGAACTCTCGGAGTTTAAGGTTATTTAGCTCCGGTAAGGAGCCTGAGAAGTGGTTGTTTTCCAGAAAAAGGGTCCGCAAACGCGTCAAATTGTCGAACCGGGAAGGAATGCTACCGGAAAAGTTGTTGTTAGCGAGATTGACGCGGACCAGGGAGTGAAGGTCGAAAAAGGAATCGGGCAAGGAACCTGAGATATGGTTTCCTTGGAGATAAAGGTTCTGGAGGCCGACACATTGGGAGAGGTCCGCCGGTAGCGGACCGGAAAGGTAGTTGAGACGGAGGCTGAGTGTGCGGAGGCGTGTGAGGTTGGAGAGCGTGTGAGGCGGGATGGAGCCGGAGAGAGAAAAGCCGGGGAGGCGGAGAACGGTGACTCGGCCATTTTCGCATTGAACTCCGGCCCAGTTGCAGTGAAGGGCGGCGTCAGTAGTGTTCCATACGACAGTGCGCCGCCCGCCCACGGCGGAGCGGAAAGCCAGCAAGGCAGCGCGGTCGGTGGATTGATCTGCAGCGGCTGCAAGAGAGAAGAGCAGAAGCAGCGGAAGAAGCATTGTCCACCACTTCGAGACGCCGTCGTTTTCACTTTCCCGTCTCAAGGGAAAAACTTTGCAGGGATTTTTGTCCAATTTCAGAAGCTTTTGGGTTTGTAGATGGAGAAATCGCAGTTCAGCATTTATTCTGGGAAAAGACACCAACCCAAATAATTATCATCCGGGCATAAATGTGGGTCGGGGATTCGGGAGTTGTTTAGAGCGGGATCGTAATAAAATAGCATAATTTTGATTTCATTCGTAATTTGAAATCGAACTTTTTTTGTACTCCGGTGGGAGTCTGCAGTAATCAGGGCTGCCCATTAAATCTCAAACTCATGTGTGCCTAGCAAAATTCAAACTCGAGACCTCTTACTAGACACGGTAACCTCGCAACCAGTTGAGCTAGAATACTTGGTTAATATAGTTGATATTGATGACATAAAAATGAGTATATGTGTTTATAAGTTTCAGCCTTAGCAAGCGTATTGTATTGGGGAGTTATTAACTGATTAATAATACTTAATCTCTTACTTGCTACTTACTGTTTCTTGATCCATTTTACTTGTTAGTTGGGCTGGTTCATTCACATACACACTCCACTCGAAACTCTTGGGCTTACGTGTTGGACCCGAGGGTTGAAGGAATAAACCTCAACAAGTGTAAAATGTTTTAAAAAAGTGTCCTACAGTTTACATCAAATAATTAAAACAAACGGTGTAAAATGTTTACTTCCCCACACTTCACATGCAAAATGTTTACTTTACATCATACCAAACGGGCCTCAACTGATATGCAGCTGCCGCCTGCCGGCCGCGCCACCGCCTGCTGTCCAGTGTTGGGTGTGTCTCAGAAAATAAAGAAAAATTAATTAATTAAAATTAATTTAAATGACAAAGAAAAACAGAAAATAGATGAAACAGAATTTAGTCATACGTATTCTTTACCTCCCGAGGTGCTAGAAGCGTTGCAACGATCGTTTGAGCACTCAAACGTAGGGGTGGACTCGGGTCGGGCGGCCCGACCCGGAACCGGCCCGGGGCCCGGTGGGTCCATCGGTTCGGTTTGGCCCGGCCCGGGTGATGGGCGGTCCGGGCTCGGGCCCTGCTTTAGGTGAACCGACCCGACCGGTTTGGGCCCGGGCCGGGCCGGATTTTAATTTGTTTTTTTTTTTTTTGAATTTTTTTTTAAGTTTTGGGTTGGATTAGGTATTTTGGGCCATTTGAGGTGGTTTGGGGTGGTTTGGGGTTGAGGGGGAGGGGTAGGGGGTTAAATAGGAGAACCAAAATCAAAAAAAAAATGGACCGGTTTGGCCCGGCCCGGTTTGGCCCGGAACCGGCCACCAGCGGTTCGGGCTCGGGCCCCAGTTTTCTGGCCCGCCGAACCGGCCCGGGTCCACCCCTACTCAAACGACTGTTCCGGCGAACGTGAACAAAGGCAGAACACAAAGGAATTTTCGGAATGCTAGAGGTGTTTTCAGAACTCAAAAGTACGTGAGTTCGTTTGTGAATGTGTATCGTTGCAAACCACCTGCTAGCCAATTTATAAGAGGATTTGTTGTGTGTTAAATTAATCTTTAATGGACCTGAACATTGCACATAAATGTCCAGCACGTTGTACATTAATATGGAGAAAAACTGTCCATTTAAGTAAACATTAAAAGATAAGAACGTTGGGCATTAATTTTCGCAACGGCTGAGAACCACACGACCAGAACACCCCCAGTGTTCTGGTGTAACGTGCGCGACCAGAACACACCCCTGGGTGTTCTGATTCCGAACCGACCAGAACACCCCTAGGTGTTCCCGTTCTGCCCGGGCAGTTCTGGTTCTGGGAAAAAATAAAACGTTACGAGAAGAAAAAAAATTAAATCGCATCTCTGAAAGATAGATTTTTGGACGACATTCGTCTCCGCATGTCACCCTTAGAAAGAAAAAAATAAATCGCGGTTTTCCTTCTCTGTTTTCAGAATTTGACCCCCCCCCCCCCCCCCCCCCCCCCCACGCGCAAAGAGAGCCTAGCCGCCTAGCGCCTAGCGTCCGACTAGCGTCTAGCACCTTTTAGAACATTGTGGAAGAGCGATAAAAAGTGTTGTTTACTCCACCCATTTCTACGCCTATTCAGAACGAAGTAAGAAGAAGAATTTAGTATTCACTCATATTGTAATAGCTCGTCTTCCTCTGAACCCACCTCCGTGCCAAGAAAAGTTTTGTAGAAAAACTTTATTCCAATATTATTTTATCTTTAATGGCACTTATTTTTATTTTTATTTAGTTCGAGTCCGTTGGGTTTGGATATTTAATTTTGGGAGTATAGCTTAAAAAGTTAAAATGGTTCATTTCGTATCTAGCGAGTCAGGTTGATTTATATGATTGACTGACTCTATGTCTATCTCTAAAGCGTACATTCATATATGTAATAACTGTTCAATGACTATCTTGTGTGTTTTCTCGATATTTATATAAAAATCCGCTCTTTTATACTTCTTTTGATCTTAAATAGTAGCAATATTGAAAATTTTGCACTATTCACACACGAAACTTTGACCACGATTTTTTTCCAGTATATATGATCAAATTAGTAAGTGTAAAATTTTATTAACTTTCTATGAATGTGTATTTTCAAAATATTTACTTTTTATAAGATTTACTAATACGTCATTAAATATAAGGAAAAAGGATCAAATAAATCTTTCAACCATTTCCAAACCACCACTTAAACCCATGTACTAAAAAATTGATCAATTTGACCAATTAATCAATTTCTGCACTTTAAAAAAAATTCTGCATTGTTAAATTTTGAAGAAATGTATAAAAAAATTGTGAAAAATTTCGAAATATCAAAGGCAATAATTTTGAAAATTGTTTGTATATTCTACATCTATTTAAAGGTTTTTAAAAAAATTCTTTTTTATTTTTTTAATTTCAACTTTATTTATTCAGTTTTTGGATTTTTTATTTTTAATATGATAACATTTTAATTTTTTATATATTTTAACATTCATACTATTTTATAGTTTTAATAGATTGTTTATTCAAATTTATATGAATTTTTGTAAGATTTATCAATATTCCTAATTTAATTTTTTAAAAATGACCTACTATAGCAAGTTAATTTTTTAAAGTAGGCCTACTTAAGTGATGTTTTTTAAATAAAAGGACTTAAATGATGAATTGAAAATAATATGAGGGTGTGTTTGACACTTTTTCCTGAATATAATTATTGTCAAAGTCATACGTAGTGGTGGACTAGTTTCAGGCCGGCCCGTGGCCCAGCACTGTTTGGAACTGGCCCGGCTGATAGCCCGGAAAGAGACTGGTCCAGGCAGGCCTGGCCTGGAGGTTATACAGGGCGGGCTCAGGTCATCAAAAATAGGAACCGGCTGGCCGGGCCAGGCCCGGTTCGGGCCTCTCTTTTTTTCATTTTTTTGTTTTTCCCGGGTTAAGCTAGGTGTTTTGGGGGGGTTTGGGGGGGGGGGGGGGGGTTAATTAGATAAGCAAAAAAAAAAAATTAAAGCCCGGGTAGTGATGGACCGAGATCCGGGTCGGGTCCGAGTCAGGCCTAGGCCCAGCCGGGTCTGGATGGCAATGGGTTAAGCTCGGGATCAGCCCGGTTGTCTACAGGTTCCGAGCCGGGCCCGGGACTATTTTTTTTATTTTCTTGATTATTTCATCCCCTACCCCCCCCCCCCCCCAATGCCCCCAAACCCATCAGAAACACCCAACCCATTGAAACCCAGCGCAAACAAAAAAAAGGCCCAAACCGGGCCCAAACGGACCGGTTCACATTTAATCAGTTCCGGAACCGCCCCGGTTTCGTCCTTAAGCCGGGCATAGAGCCGGAACCGGTACTCGCTTCCCGGGCCGGGCCCACACAGTACCGGGCTGGGCCCACATAGTACTGGGTCGGGCCAGTTCCCGGGTCGGGTGTCCCACACCGAGGCCATCACTAAGCCTGGGGACCAACCTGGCCCGGTGGAAACCTTGGCCGGTTCCAAGCCCGAAGCCAAACCTAAAAAGCCCGCCCAGGACCGGTCCATGCCTAGTTGTACATTGACAAAAGTGAAAGACAAATTGTTGGAACTATAACGGAGGATTAAAAAAGCAAGAGACTAACATGTATAACTAATAATATAGCAAAATATCATTGTCATTCAATCACAATCAAGAAACTAAAATGTAAGTACGAATATTTCAATAAATTATTTGTGTTTAATTGGATTGAAATTTTCTAGTCTAGTCTTGTACTCTTGTCTAATTCAAGTCTGGTTTGCTTTGATCTAAATTAATCTAATCTAATCTAGTTGATGGTTGGTTTATTATATTTTTATTTTATAACTGTTGAATTCTAGTGATCTGGTTTATTGATGTCTCGTCTCGTCTAATCGATTCATTCAAGTCTGACATGTTCTGGTCTAGGACTAAAATAAATTCAAGTAAAACCATTTTAAATCAAGTATCAATTGTCATTATCTTGCAAATCATAACAAATTTGCTATCAAACATCAACTTTCAAGAATTAAAAAATATGAACTAAACCAAATATTATACTTAATTATTACTCCAAATTTTAATAACTTTCTATAATGTTTTACTTGCAATTCGTACTTTATCAATTCAATTTCACCCACCCACCTCTACCTTGTTCACGTTAGCCTTTTGGAATCGGGGAAGATCCAGTGGAAGAGACCTACAGAACTGCACACTGAACCTGCACAAGTTTACTCGTTTCAATTTAAGGTTCTAAAATTGGACCATAATATGGTGTGGGTTTGCGCATCGGGTAGCATTGTTCTCAGCATATTCGCATGAAGTTCCATTGGCAACAGATAGTACACATTCAAAGCTTTTATCAGTTTCACATACATGGATGAAGCAAAAGATTGAATCAGCCCCTCAACTTTCTGCATAATGTTATGAATGCAAAAAGTTCAATGACCATGATATGTTAACAAAATTGGTCACCTGCATAGTCTTATATATGCAAACCATTGTAACGATGGGATACGTAGCATACGTTAGCCTCCAGCTCCACTCTCTTACGGTAGTTCACTTTGTAAATGTGATCGGATGGATCAATCATCTTTGCTCATAAGCTCATGCATCAGTAAATGTGCCACTGATTTGAATCCCATCTCTCGAGCTTTAAAAAAAGACAAATCCAACATTAAAGTGATAAAAAGAAAAGGAACAATAAACGCATAATACATGTATTAAAAATAATATGAATTCAAATTAACCTTTGTATATTGCTATCCCGGTGGGAGCCATTCGCCGCTTCTTCAAACAAAATGAACTATCCAATACGGAGATACGCCAAGCGCATTAAATTTTCTGTGTTGATAAAAGTCTTTTATGTCTAAATAAAACTTGATACCTATTGCAAATCCAATAGGGATTAATCCCTTTGTCTTCAACACAATGAGGGCATATCCATTCTTTATTCGCTCTCACTTCATCCATATCTATCACAAGTAATGAACCGCAAATAGCATATGAGTTCCCAACTTTTTTTGGTAAACAGTTTGTACGTAGTACTATCAAAACAAAATAACCTGGTCCGACAAGTTGACAAACTGTGATAGTTATTTCAAGTGCTTTGGGATTTTAGCTCACCTTCACCATATCTAATCTCAAGGCAGGCTCGACAAAAGACACCAGTACCAGAATGACAAAGCGAACAATCTGTCTTACCTGTATGTTGAGAAAAAAATCGAACTTTCGGAGTAAATTCACTAAGAAATAAATTATCTACAAAAAAAAGTTTCTACATTAAATACTCGGGCGAGATTCGATAAGCTTAATGAAATGAAATGTAATCAAAAAGTTATGAATGCTATTCATGTAAATTTACATTAAACTATTTTCCACTACGGCTTACCAAAAGTTACCAAACCACTAACCTATACAAGGTTGGTTCATGTCAAAATCATTACAACGCTTGCATTCTTCTTCACCACACAATTTCTTTTGCCTGTGAATCAGTGTAAAGCTTGTTATAGCGCTATAGCAACTGCTTTATCCTTAAAAAACTAACCAACACAGACAATTTTAGGGTTCATTTAGCACTAAGAGAGAATGAACAGGAGGTATATACACGGGACATTTTGAATGAATGAAAATTTGAGGGAACACAAGTATTCGTTCAAAGTCATTAAACTTATTGATGATATTTGTATTCAAACTCAATAGAAAGAGTTTGAACCAATGTGTAAAAAAATGGCAGCATTAGTCATGTTTCATTTTCATTTGCATTTCTGTGAGGCAACTGGAAACTATTTTCCGTGATTCTATGAGCTTTTGTAGAAAAGGAATCCTCATCTTAACCTGAAACAGTTTTTATACTTTGGTTGGTCATGCAAATATTATGCTATTCACGTCCCAAAATGAAAATTTCGTTTCAGTTTATGATGTTTGACTAATGATAATGTTAACACTTCTGTGCCAATACTTATATTTGTTATTTATAACTAAAGTATACATATTAGAGACAACACTGCCAATTATATTTAAGACCAGAAACCAAATTCAATCATGCCAAAAGTTTCAAAATATGAAATGAGAAAATAAAAGATAGTTAAGTTGATGGCGGGAATAATGAATGGGGCTTCCATTTTGAATAGATGGTGTATTGAAAGAACAACTTATTTTCCATGAAAATAATTCCTACAGAAACCATTGTCCTCAAAAAACATTTCCCACGACAAAAAATTCCTTGAAACAAAGAGAACTAAGAATGCAGCAAGGGGAAGACTGGATAAGTAATAAAGGAAGAGATCTCAAGACAGGAACCTGCAGAAGTGGCAAGAGATTCCGTAGATGGGATCGTGCACACTGCCCCTAACCATTCTTGAGCAACCCCGAGCCACCGCATAGGACGACGGCTGGCGAGCAGTATACCCCTCATCATCTTCTAGCTTAATTGAAACTGCTGGTTTGTTTTTCAAGCGATTCGAACGACGCAAAAGGCTGGACGAGCATTCACTCTTGATCAACTTTCTCTTATCCAATTTTGGCTTTGAAGGAATGGTGCACCGAAGTTCTGACATGGTTTTTCGGATTCCCAAACTTTCCATCCGAGCCTGCTTTGCAAGAAATAACACACAACAAAACATGAAAAACACATTAAAGACCGGCATGGATAGGGTTATTTGGCGAATGAGTTTGCTTAATCTTCTGACAGGTCCTTTCAGCCCAATAAAAGTATTTGAAAACTACACATTCTACTCATAGTTGAATAAGCCAAGCCAGAAAACTGTCTGCCAAAAAATTCCCAAGTCTTGAACTTGTAAAATTGCAAAAAAAAAAAAAGGTACAAGCAAGGACCTGATTTTCCAAAATGCGAGCTTTGCGGATTTCTTCATAGGCATACTTTTCTTTCACTTCCTCCATTTCTATTAAAAAATCAAAAAGATCATTATAGGTTTGTGTTGTCTTCTCCCTTGATATTATTGCCTTGTTTGGCATATAGCATCTTTGGTTGGATGGCCAATTGTGCTGGCCATTTTTGGGCAAATGATTGGATTGGTGGTTATGACCAAAGGGTTGTACGAAGTATTACAGAAAAGCTATTTTGTTTGGTAGTAAAAATGTTTACTGTATTTTGGGGGAAAGAAAACTATAATGTTGTCAAAAAATCTAGGAACAGAGCTTATTGTAAAACATCTTTTTGGACCAAATAAGCTGTTTACGAAGAAATAAAGTTGCTTTTCATCTGGAAGAACCTCTAACAGTGCCCGAAAGATATAAGCTCTCCAAAAAAGTTTTCAAAACATGGAAATGGTTTTTTTGTATTTAGATAAAATTGCTCTACATAGGACTTCAACATACTCCCTACGCCCCATAGCCTTCTACATACTTTCCTTCTAGGGATTTCTCAAAAATTTCTCCCAATTTTGTTTTCAAGAAAGATTTATGTGGCGGGTATTTGTTTTCTTTTTTTATATCAACTACAAACATATGATTTCACTTTTTACAAAGTGTTCCAAGTCAGAGTGAGAAGAAAGTTATGAATGGAAGTGGTGAAGGGATTAATACCTCTAGAAATAACACCATCTATGTTTTCATCATAAACTATAATTAATTTAGTCCATAATTTAGAACGAATAATTCCAACCCAATACACCCTTAGATAGTAATTCCAGATATTTATGGACTACAAATCAGTTAATAATTTAGATAGTTGATAATAAGTGACTGATTTTTTCCATCATTTGCAATAGAGCCAAAGATTCACTATTTTTTTGCTTGAGAATATGATGAAATAAAGCAAAATGGCTCACTAAACTGTTTGCACTTCTTTATTATGAAGCAACAGTCAGTCCATGCAATTTTGGACACAATGTTCACTATGGGTCATCCGGAAACTGTCTCTTTGTGCTTTAGTACAGGGGTAAGACTGCGTACATCTGACCCCCCTTACCCCACCGTAGATGGGAGTCTTTGCGACATTGGGGTAATGATGATGATGATTTGGTGCTGGTGACGGGTGGCCAATGACAGTGGTTTCTTACAGTGGTTTCCGGAAATTATTCGCCCGTGATTTTTCTAGCAATATTTTTCAGTGTTAATTCTCAAGAAACTTGTCCAGAATGTATTTTGAGTCCTATTTGTTTTCATAGTCTTATGTGTATAAAAGTGTTGTTTCAATCCTATGCACATAACTTCCCCTTGTATTTAGGAGGTGTTTGAAATTGATTCTGCTTTTGATTCTTTTTAAAAAGCATAAGTAGAATCAAAATCAGTTTTCCAGAAGTTAATCTCCCCCAACTTCTAAAAAAATCCAAAGCATCTTGGAACACCCAGAAGTACTTCTACACTTTGACTCAAACACTCTTATATGTGCTGCTCCTTGGAGCAGAAGCAGTTTTAAGAAACAAATCCCAACACCCCCTTATATGCTAATTGCTAAGCTCTTAGTTTTTTGTTTTGTTTTTTGGTCACTTGAGGTGACGTGGCACCACAATAGTCCCATTAAGGGTGACTCACATAGTCAACGTCGAACACTTGACACCCTCCAGTGGTTGAATTTACTTTAAGCCAGATGCTACTTGTGTAAATTTCGTTCTAAAATATATAAAGAATTGCATTTTCTTTTTTAGAGAACAAGCAAACAAAGTCACATTCCTGGCAGCACCCACCTCTGGATGTGACTGAAGACTACTAGAAACCACAACCTAGATATTGAAAACTTCATCATTTTAAATAAAATGTGGATTTAAAAAAAGAATAATAGAAACCAAGCCACTGCTCACTGATGCACGGCTGATGGATGTCAAGAACAACACAATCGTCTCCGCAAGGCTGCTTCCCTTCCCTATGCAGTACAAACATTAAGCAAAACAAGTAATCGAAAATTAGGGAGGACATAAAAGCTAAGAGGTTTCAGGTGCAAACCAACTTCCATGTAAAGGGCCACTTCCTTTCAAACGATTTGAACGGCGCAAAGGGGTAGAAGAACCGACAATCTTCGCCGTATTTGTGTTCCGGAGTCCCGCTGTCTGCTTTGCACCCTGCTTTCGGTATATAGAACTTCATTTTCTTTTCTAAAGGTGAAAAGGAAAGTGGGAAATTCTTTGAATGATTACTGACCCGATGTACCGCCATGCTGGCTTCTTCATATGCAGAATTCGCTGCAAGACTTCTTCTTCTCGTCATTGTGAAGTTGTAGTCCAGTAACCCTAGTTAATGTGAGATAGCTTGCTTTCATCCATGTTTCGTTTACATTTTCTTTTTTTGGAAAAATGTTTCTTTTACATTTCAAAAGGCCCATCTCTCTGTGGCTCTATGCATAAAATAGATTACTTATAGTCGTAGACTTTTTCCATATTTTCAATCGATCGTTTTAGAAGCTGTTCTCTTCGCCTGATCTGAATGTTTCTGATCTGAATTTTTTAAGTTCTGATCTGATCTGATCTGAATTTTTCTGATCTGATCTGATCTGATCTGAATCTTTCTGATCTGATCTGATCTGATCTGAATCTTTCTGATCTGATCTGATCTGATCTGAATCTTCCTGATCTAATCTAAATGTTTCTGATCTGGTCTGATCTGATCTGAATGTATCTGATCTGATCTGAATCCTTCTGATCTGATCTGAATTTTTCTGATCTGAACTGATTTGAATATTTCTATGATTATAATTATAATTATAATTATTATAATTGCAATTACAAATATAACTTAAATAAAATTATAATTATAATTATAATCGTAACTATAAAAATAATAATAATAATTAAAATTAAATTTAAAATGAAAAAATTTATACATATTACACTAATTATAAATATAGATATAATTATAATTGTAATTATATTTTTAATTATAATTAATTATATAATTATAATTGTAATTATAATTACAATATTTATCTCTATAATTGTAACTATAGTTATCAATATTATTATAATTACTCCGTAAAATAATTACAATAGTAACAATAATAATAATATTAATAATTATAATAAAAATAATAATTATAATCATAAATTATAACTATAATATAATTATAAGTATATTTATAATTAATAATAATTATAATTATATTAACATTAATTATAATATTATAATATAATAATAGTAATATAAATACAATTAATATTATTATAACGATATTAGTATATTAATACTATTATTAAAATAACATAATATTATTATTATTATTAGTATTATATTATTATAATATTATATTATAATTATAATCATAATTATAATTATGATTGTAATTATAATTATTATAATTATAATTAATTATAGATATAATTATAATAATTACAATTGTTATACTTATAATTATAAGAATTATAATTGTAAGTATAATTATAATTACATATAATTACAATATAATATTATAATAATATTAATCATATTATTATTATAATATTGTAATAATAATAATAGTCTTCTTAATAATTGCATTTATATTACTATTATTATATTAAAATATTATAACTATATTAATATCTTATTTTTTTTATCATATTATTATTAATATTATTAATAATAATTATATAATAATAATCATAATAGTAATAACAATATTAATAATAATAATTAATATAATAATAAAAGTGATAAATCATGTTTGAACTTTTCTGATCTGATCTAAATGTTTCTGATCTGATCTGAATGTTTCTGATCTGGTCTGATCTGATCTGAATCTTTCTGATCTGATCTGATCTGATCTGATCTGATCTGAATCTTTCTGATCTGATCTGATCTGATCTGAATTTTTCTGATCTGATCTGATCTGATCTGAATTTTTCTGATCTGATCTGATCTGATCTGAATAAAATAAGAATAGGTAATAAGTAATAAGAATAAGACGAACAGAACAGCACCTTATAGTGCAGTTAGAAGCGCACTTATATTCAAGAATTCATTTGAATACCTTCCCGATTAAAGTTTTAGCTTAAATTTGGTATGAGTAAACTAGACTTGATGAATAAGATGCTCAAAAAATTTCATCAAAAAATTCCACCGGAAACCACCCCAAATGACGACGGCCGGACAGAGCCTCCTAAATAAGGGTTTATTTGACGGGGAAAATAAATAATATACCCCGAACTTTGCCTTGGTGTGAGCTCCCCACCCCAAACTTGTCCTGGTTTAAAAAATACCCTCAAATTTATTTAATTTTTTGTACCATATTTTAATTAACAAATAATATTTCTCACATTATAATATGTTAATTAGATTTAGTTGGCAAAAAAGATGCGTGATTCCCAAATTAATGTGTGCTTTTAGAATTGATTAAATAACTTCAAAATATCTAATTTATTCAAAAAAAAAATCTACATCCTCCCAATACGCCCCATGCCTCGTTTCATTGTCTCCACTCCTAAAAGAAAAATGTATAAAATGCACCAAAAAAATAAAGGCAATATTCGTCTCATTAAGTACGTGAATTAAGTTGACATTAATGTATACGTATGGAGTATTTATTTAAGAAGAATGGGAATCACACATCTTGTTTTGCCAACTAAATCTAATTAACATATTATAATTTGAGAAATATTATTTGTTAATTAATATATGGTACAAAAAAATTAAATAAATAAAGTTGGGGGTATTTTTTAAACTAGGACAAGTTCAGGGTGGGGAGCTCACATCAAGGCAAAGTTCGGGGTATATTATTTATTTTCCCCTTATTTGACCTTTTTTTGTTAGTATATGGGCCTATTTGCACCTTTTCCCTGTCAGTTTTTATTGGTTAATAAATAATACTTCATTTGTCCTCCTATAATTGTCCCATTTTTTCCTTTTCGTATGTCCCCCTATTATTATCTCATACTATATTTGGTAACATTTATGTTACTCTAATTCATTCTTAATTTTTTCTCACTTTATCAACTCATTATCAACCACATAATTCTACTTTTCTTAAAAACCACATCACTCGCTTCCGTCTCAATATTAGGGGAACGGAGGAAGTATAGAGTTTTTTCCTAAAATAATGCTAATTAAATAAATAATGCCCAAAATACGGTTGGTTAAAAAAATTCCCAAAATACTGCTAGGTTGATTGTGGTTAAGCAAAGCCGCCACTTGAAGTGGCAGCTCTTCTCTTACAGTACAAAAGCCGCCACTCTAAGTGGCGGCTCTTCTCTTACAGTAAATTTTAATCGGGAAGATAATTAAACAAATTCTTGAAACATACTGCGTTTTATATGTGTACAAAATGTGTTGTAAGAAAAGAGCCGCCACTTGGAGTGGCGGCTTTTGTACTGTAAGAGAAAAGCCGCCACTTCAAGTAGCGGCTTTACTTAACCACGGTTAACCCAGCAGTATTTTGGAAATTATTTTTAAACGATAGTTGGATCGGCTAATGGAAAAAGTAGAAGAAGAAAAAGCATAAAAAATTACACCATTGAGCATATCTTTAGCATCAACCATATTAATACTAGGATGTTAACCTGTTCCAGATCAGACCAGACCAGACCAGACCAGACTTGGATGGTTATAAAAATACAAAGAGACCCGACATTACCGGATCAGATTAGACTTGAATAGTTATAAAAATACAAAGAGACGAGACATTACCAGATCAAACCATATTAGACCAGACCATACCAGCAAATTACAGTCCAAGTAAAAACATCCTTAATAGTTAATACTGATTGATTTATAATATTTAGTATCAATCGATGAATTTTCTTACATTAGAGTAACTTATTAATACTTCAAATTAATAATATGCTTATATATAATTTAATTTCTGTTGTAATATTATTTTAAAATATAATTTGCTGCACAAATAATAACTAATTCATTTATTATATACTAATTGGATTAGTAACGTTTTCTTATTCAACTTAAAATGTGTGCATTACTAATAACATATATCTTAACTTCTCTCATTAATAAATTAATTAAAAACATATCGGACTGTGATACTTGAAGTGGCCATAAAAAACATACTTTTTAGCATATATAGAAAAATAATATGTAAACAAAAATATAACATAATCAAGTTCAAGTCCAATCAATTTAACAAAATAGTACAAATTAAATCTTAAAGTTTTTTAAATGAAGGGAAAAGACTCAATATAATATTCACCCACCATATAAATCAAATTAATCAAAGGGAAAATCGCATATATGGTCCCTCAGTTATCCACTTATTCACGAAATTAAAATCTCATACCTGTATTTTTTAGATTGTAAATGTCACCCCTCAATTGTCCAAAATACAGTAAATATGATCCTTTTGAGGGGTGAAATATACAATGTGGGCGAGAGTACGTTTCCTACTTAAAGGACCACATTTACAACAATTTGGACAATTGAGGGGTGACATTTACAATCTCAGAAATACAAGTCTGAGATTTTAATTTCGTGGATAACTGAGGGACCATATATGTGATTATTATAAAACACAGATAGAATGTACAAAAGAGTTCATATAAATGAAATTACTTTTGTGCCGCAAAGCCAAAATCTTGATTAAATTGTCACAAAAATACACATTTACTCAATTCTATTTTAAAGAAGACTTAAAATGAATGTCAATTTTCCCGCAGCATTGTAAAATACATTTGGAGTGTCCTTCAATTCCCTCCCATTATAAAATATATTTCGATTTGGTGTAGATTTAAAGATAATGATAGTATAAAGTGGTTGCTTTACATTTTTAACATGCAAAAAGTAAGTAAATGTAGTAGGCATAAAAAAACAAGTAAAAGATGAATAGATAAAGAAAAACGTGAGAAATAAAAAGTCGGTAGTAATTTAAGAAAGTTTTCATAGAAACAAATATGGATCATGGTTTTAAATTGCGGATCGCAACACATGTTGTGTTGTGGTCGCAATATTGCTATTGTGGTACGCAGCGCAACTGCATCAGGCCACAATGGCGGTGAGATTCCGAATCATGGGGGAAATTCGCAACGGGACGCATCGGAACCGCAACATTATTTTTTTCTTATTTTTTTCAAACGTCAAACTAATTATACAGTGCTTCGACAACAAAACGCATCACAAGTACAACTGCTAGAATAGCCACAACCGCACTAATCGCAACTATAATTTAAAACCTTGATACAGACCAAAGTGTAAATATATAATACATGATGATGCATTATTTATTAATCATTTAACAAATACAAATTTATAATTGATTGTGAGAGTTCATAATAAAACTTGGGCTAAAGGGTCAAATAGGCCCTTGAACTAACTTAAAGTGTTCAATTAGCCCCTTATAAAGGAGGTTATGCCCGGCCGTCGCCTATTGGGGCGGTTCTCGGTGGGATTTTTTGATGAAATTTTTTTAGCAGCTTCTTCATTAAGTCTAGTTTACACATACCGAATTTCAGCTAAAAATTAAATCGGGAA